TCTCCATGACGAAAAACATGGCCATTGATAATGACGATTTATGCCAAAAAAAATTGAAGAAGATTCACGTTTGACTGGACAGGAGCTCGCGAGATTATACGATATTGATCCTACAACAATTACCCGTCATCTACGCAAGCTTGGAAAGTGAAATCGAGCCGGGAAGTGCGTACCTCATCTTCTCAGCGATGCGATCTGGCCACACGAGTTCAGCTATCGGGAATCCTGCTTGGGAAATCCTATCGGGAACGAAAGGCTTTTGAAATTCAATTCTTACTTCAGATGAAAAGTGAGTCTGTTACGATAAACCCGCACCTAAAAGTCAATGGCTGAATCCAGAAGTGAGGGAGTGGCTGAATCCAGAGTGGCCGAACCGTCATGGCTGTCCAGTCAGTGGCTGCCATCGTGGCTGAACTCAGTGGCGAATCCAGTCGTGGCTGAATCCGTCGTGGCGAATCCGCAGTGGCTGAATCCTGGCTGAGATTTGTCAGTGGCTGAAATTTGTTAGAACTTGAAAAAGCACAATCACATCAATTTTACCTTTGAATTTGAAAGAAAAAGGAAAATTTGAATCTGAATACATGTGTTTGGTGGAAATCTATTGGATTTATGCATCTAAACTTTGTTCTAAAAATCGGCTCCAATACCGTGAAGAATGATCATTCTCCTCCGAAACGGACGTCCATCTCTGAGTCGGACGTCCGTTTCAGAGGAGAATGAATCTCCTCAGATTCGGACGTCCGGATCGGAGATGGACGTCTCCTCAGATTCGGACGTAACATATATATCTCCTCTTAAAATCATAACAAAATTTGTACAAATCCTAAAAATGAAATCATTAATCCAAAACGCTTTCCCAATGCGAATTAAAGTTTTTGACTCTAAATGTTTTCCGATATTTTCGTAGACTCCAAAAAACTCCAGAAAACTTTCACATTTCTCACACTTACACTAATCTCTTTCAAAATCTCATCACCGAACTTTTTTTAATCTAATCCGAAATCCTTCTAATCTAATCGCAAAATTCGCAATCCCAATTAGTTTCCTATAGAAATTCTCGACAAATTCTCGACTTTACCTCATCCTTTTCAACTTTTCCGAAAAATTTGCGATCTTTGAGCTAAAGTTTGTCTAGGAAAAGTTTGGAAATCATTAAAAATTCAATTTCGCACTCAGTGAACAAGTCATTTTTTCACTATTTTTACCATTTTTTTTCTTTCAAAATCCGCCGATCCACCGGTTACTTTTTTAATTAATTTTCCTCTCACCTAAAGCAATAAAATCTTTTTTCTTTGAATGTGTATCCCATTTTCTTTTTTTATTTTTTTCCGTAACCCATTTCATCCGACAAAAATTCATCTAAATGAAAATTTTTGCGCTTACCGATTTGTGTTTCCGGTTTATTTTAGAAGATTTTCCATTTTTGTAATCCGAAATCAGGAAGTGACGTTTTTTGGAGAGAAAAAAAATCTTATCCTTCTCAGGCTCCTGCTTCTCAGGCTCCTGCTTCTCAGGCTCCTGCTTCTCAGGCTCCTGCTTCAGGCCCCCCCTCCGCCCCCCCAGGCTCCCCCACCCGGCCCTCTCCGGCTCCGCCTCCGCCCCCGCCCCGGCCGCCCCGGTCCTGCTCCAGGCGCCCGGCTCCTGCTTGCACTAGGAGCTTCATTTTCTCTTCCTTTCTCTTCCTTTATCTTCATTAATCAGAGCTCTTTGCTGGAAAGGTTTTTTTACTGAAGTACTGTAGCGTAGTGGAAGAAGTAAGCACAATATCACTGTCGACTTTGTAACTTTATCTCATTCCCCAGCTGTTGATTAAGTAAGGAGTCTTTGGCTACAAGAAGCTACAAGAAATAAAGTGTTTTCACTAAGTAATATTCTAAAACAAAACTTGATCCTCGGAAATAACTACAATTGTCACGTTTTCTATATAAATTGTCATTTATCTAATAAAAGAATTCCCTAGCTCATCAGCTTTAGCATAAAACATTCGATACTTGTCGGTTATACATCCACAAAGACTCAACTCGGTTAAGCAAGAAGCTGACAACTTGTGACGGGTGATTACCGTATTTTCTCTAATAGTAGCACCCGGCCAAACCGAGTTTGATGACTATTTTACAGTTCCCAAGCTTTTGCGGAAGCTCAACACTCAAATCCCCCACTAGATCTCATCGTCAGCTACATTTTCCGACCCCACATCGATAGGTTCTAATAAGCGGTTCTCGAGATTTCGAGGAATTTAGTCTACAATACTGCTAGTAGGGGTAATTCTAAAATTGTTGACTAGAACCGACTATTAGAACGGGTTATTTCGGGTTATTTAATGGGTAAGTACCGGTAACCTTTTCCTAACCAGAAGCACATCGTTTAGAAATGATTTACCGTATTCTCTCTAATAGTAGAGCCGAGTTGATGACTATTTTACGGTTTCCAAGCCTTTCCAGAAACCCAACACACTAATCCCCCACTAGATCTCATCGTCAGCTACATTTTCCGACCCCACATCGATAGGTTCTGATAAGCGCTTCTCGAGATTTCGAGGAATTTAGGCGACCCTCAGGGTGCACTACTATTAGAGAAAATACGGTATCTTCAGTGAAGTAGAGTGCAAGTAATCAATCGATCAGTTCATCAGAACGAAAAGTGATAACCGAGAAGACTCGCATGGGGATGCATCACCGAGATGAGTCTTTGTGAATTTGTAACCGACAAGTACCAAAAATTCTTTACTTACTCTCATTTTTCCCCTATATTTCCCTCTTCACAATGTCATGAGCATTTTAAATTAAGAAAATTTTATTTAAATGACATCATCATTGAGCCAGCATCAAACGATGTCATACATAAAGTGTTCTGTGAAACAAAAAAACATTTCCAATGTAAAGGGTAGGCCAAAAAAGTTTCAAATTTCTCCCTTCAAATTTCTTTTCTTTATCGTTTCTTTGTGGGAGTCATTTCGCGAATGAAAAATGCATTCACACCCTTTCGGCGTCTTTTTCAGCCTCCGTCTGCCACAAAACATTCCCCATTTTATATAAAATTCTAAAAACTGCTAAAAGCTTTGAAATTCTTCATTCTTTTAAAGATATCTTAAAGATATTGTGGCATTTACTACAAGAAAGCAATGGTTTCCACCAATGGTTTCACTCCTGAATGTGCTTATGAAGCCGTGACAGTCCTGGTCTCGAAAAGTTCAACTTTTTGAGCACTTTGTTGTACCCAGCTTAACAAAGCTGAAGTTATTTTATAGCTAAATATTTTGAGTCAAAAGATACGGTAATTTTCTGGAGTAATTACTGTAGAAAATAGCATGAAGATTGTAGCTTCAAATGATGACAAATGGTTGATTGACGGGGATATCTTAGCCAGATCAGGACCAAGACCAGGACTGTCAAATCGATCTGATCTAGATCAGAGATGGGTAGTTGAGATCGAAACTGAGGCCAAACCTAAGCAAGGGCCAAGCTCAGACTACATTTTATTGTTCCTGGACAGTTCTAGCTTGGAGTTGAGCCATTGATCAGTCAATTCCTGTCCTTACCAGTGAATGTTGAGAAAACTGGCGATTTTTTTGTGAACTAGTTTCCCTGATAGTCGGAGCTGGTTGTATTGACTAAATCTTATCAGGCAGACTAATCATATTGAAAGAAAATCCTCCTTGGTAGGGGATTTTCGAAAGTACCAACTCTATTTCTTTCTGATTTCTCTTTTCTCCGAGATCACCATCAGAAAACTCGTTCGTCAACACAAAAATCCCATGATTTTTATGACGATAATCAAATGGATTTTCCAAGTTCCAAATCTCATAATCGTAAGCTAGAATTGAAAAAAAATATTAGTTCCATCCCTATCGAAAGAAAGAAATCAATCGGAAATGTGAAGATGCGATTATTTGGGGGATGGAGTGGCGGGGGAAATAAAAGTGATCAAGCTTTACGAACTCTTTGACTTTCATTTCAAACTGATCACAAATTACGGTAGGTAAACTAGTCAGTAAACTAGTCGGTTTCCCTTGAAAAAAGCGTTTTCTCAACGGTAAACGAACGAACGTGCTTTAAACGTTTCAAATTTTCATTTCAATTTTCATTTCAATTTTCAAACAAACTTTCAGCAAACTAATCTTGTCTATTTTTATTTAATTTATTTAATTTTTCAATTCTTGCACTATCTTTTGTGAATCTTCAGATCAAAAGTTATATTAGATTCATTTTAAAGTAAGATTACGGTAGTTTACCGAAAGTACTGAAAGAAGACGCATTGCTTTCGAGGCATTGCTTTCGAGGCATTGCTTTCGAGGCATTGCTTTCGAGGCATTGCTTTCGAGGCATTGCTTTCGAGGCATTGCTTTCGAGGCATTGCTTTCGAGGCATTGCTTTCGAGGCATTGCTTTCGAGGCATTGCTTTCGAGGCATTGCTTTCGAGGCATTGCTTTCGAGGCATTGCTTTCGAGGCATTGCTTTCGAGGCATTGCTTTCGAGGCATTGCTTTCGAGGCATTGCTTTCGAGGCATTGCTTTCGAGGCATTGCTTTCGAGGCATTGCTTTCGAGGCATTGCTTTCGAGGCATTGCTTTCGAGGCATTGCTTTCGAGGCATTGCTTTCGAGGCATTGCTTTCGAGGCATTGCTTTCGAGGCATTGCTTTCGAGGCATTGCTTTCGAGGCATTGCTTTCGACGCAAGGCTCGCAATGCTAAAAGCAAAGGCTAGTCAAGCTAAAACCAATGGTTTTCAATTGATTTTAATTTCAAATTTCAATCTTCCTTTTGAAATTAGCCTAATCTTGGCTTTAATTTAAATTAACCTAGAAATTTGCTTTTTTCTAGAACATCTTTACAGGATGCCATTCAATTTGACATTAAATCTTCAGATCTTCAGTCTTTCTTTTGTTTATCTGTGTCTTTTTTTTATTTTCTTTCTTTAAACTTAAACCAAACATTTCCAGAAAGATCCTTAAACAAAAAGAAAGAGAAAATGAAGCGATCAGTGGGTTCATTTGTGATTGGAATGCTGATCTCATTGCTTTTCTCTCCACTTCAAGCCGATGAGCAATCGGATTTCTGCCGACAATTCCCATCGCTTGCGCTCTGCAAATTGCCGACGATTCTCCAGGTTTAGCTTCGAATTTGATTTTAGCTAATTTTACATTAAGTGATTGTTGTTAGATTTGAAAATTAAAAGCAATAATATCAATTAAAAGCAATATTTTCTCCAGGGTGACTCACCATACACAGCACCGGTGGGTAAAGTGTGAAAAAGTGTGAAAAAGCTTCATTTATTTAAGCTTTTTATCATCTTTTAAGCTTATTATCGGCTATATTTTCAAATCCAAACACAATTTTGACTTTCCAGGGCTCTTACGACGAGCTACAGTACCTCTTGGCTGGCGTCGATCAACCACAACAAGCTGTCGGACATGGTTAGCCACATTTACTTTGTGCTTGAAATGGAAACACACATCTCTTAGTGCATTGAATTCAAATTACTTGCAACTTTTGATTCTCTACATAAAAATAAGTAACTGATAATGATAAGGGATTGTCAAATGCGTGCTTTGTTCTGTTAAAAATGTTAAAACCTTCACTTCTTCTTGCTGATCAAAGAAAATGACTAATCAAGTGCGCTAGAGAAGCGGCGTTTAGCACTGTGCATCACGAATCTACTTCGGTTTACTGTAGTAAGCCAAAGTAGATTCGTTTTGAGGCTTATCTTCAATCTACTCTATTTGAATCTTTCATGATTTAAACCAAAGCTGTTAGGGTGTTAGGATTTGGAAAAAGGGCTATCCTTTTTTTCCTTTTCTCAAACAAATTGAGGGATCATTCCATCGAAATCACATTCAAAATGCAAACCCCGTTTATGTCAAAAAGCCGACTTTTTTTCTCCCCGAAAACTGAACGTCAAAAAAATAGGCTTTAAGGCTCAAAGATTTTGAACAATGGTGAAATTTTGAACAATTTTTAGAAATGATCACCAATCAGGCACTTCAAAAGAGAAAATCGGCATTCGTACGATTCGGAAAGAGATCCGACACACAGATTGGAGATACGGTAAGTGAGAAAAGAGCAGCTAGAGGAATGGAATTGCATCGATTTCATTTGGGGATATGGTAGAATGTGTAGGAGATAAGTGAGAATTGGTTTGATTTCTCAGATTGGAGGATACGGTAAGCGTGAGAAAAGGGAAACGTATAGGAAATGAGGACATAAATGAAAGACATACCTATTTAAAATGAAAGATATGATAAGAAAATGAAAGGGCAACATATCCAGGAATCTAGGAATCGAATAATAAGTGAGTTGAAATGGACTTCTTGAAGGTTTCTTGAAGTCTAGATTGGACTTGAGTTTTCACTCAGAGAGAGTGAAAACTCTTGAAAACTCTTTACTCATTCTGGACCAATCAGGCACTAATCTTTGTAAAATGTTTAGTAAAGTGTTGAATTGCTCAGAGAATCAGGGAATTGATCAGAGAATTGATCAGGGAATCAGGGAATTGGTCAGGGAATCAGGGAATTGATCATGGAATCAGGGAATTGATCAGAGAATCAGGGAATCTCTTAAATGAAAGGCATAACAACTTAAAATCATAAATGAAAGATTTGAAAGAATCTATTCACTGCAAATGCCTCTTTCCTGAGTCAATAAAAATCTCTCGAAATTCTAGGAAATCCCGGAAAAGCGCAAGTCAGCTTTCGTCCGTTTCGGTCGCTCCGATCCAGCGATGGTAGCCGAAATGGAGAAAAGAAAAAGCAACTATGTTCGCTTTGGTTGAAGCTTTCTTTCTATAGCTTTCTCAAAGAACTTCTTCATCAAAAGATCTCTCAAACTTGTGTGTGCGTGTGTGTGTGTCTTTAATTAATGTCTTCTTTAAATCCCTAATTCACTCTTCGATCTCATTATTTTACTCGAAAATCACCGTTTATTCTCTCATCAATCAATAAATTTATGTTAATGTTTTTTTTGCTCATTTTATTCTACAAAAAATGATTTCAAACTTGTGGTATCTGGACCGGAAATTCGAAAATCCTTTCCAACTACCGGAAATGGAGAAATTTGGGTTTATATTTTCCAAGAAGCACTTAACTTTTCACCTTTTTTTTCTACAAAAACTATAGTCTTACAGATTTGAAGTTAAACTTTTTAATGGTAATCTATTTACAGAAATTATATCAACTCTGAAAAACAGGAAAGGTGTCCGACTTGAGCTGGGCATACTTTCCTCTATCAACTTCTGTTAATCATAGTGAATTAGGGATAGACATTAATTGGATCAGCTCCGAACCTTGTTTTCAAAAACCTTCAAAATCTTGTGAATCTTCAAAAACCCAATCCTTCAGAAAGTCTTTTTAAATTTACACTTTTCTTTTAAGAAAAAGTTCATTTGTTATTTTTAAAGGAATCAAATTTCTCGTTAAAATAAAAACGTAAAATAGTCTTTTAAAAAATGCGAAACTGTGTTCGTATCATGGGCTATTTGCCTCGAATGCAGGCTTTGACAAGGTTGGAAATTTCTGATCGAACTTATAGAAATGTTCATCACAATTTCATTTCAAAATACTATAAAACAAGGGAAATTTTGTTTTAGCTTTCATTTAGAGAATGATGGGTAGGAAATAACCAAAACTTCAGGGCAAACTAAGGCCAGCCCAAAAGGTCGAGCTTACAAAGACAAAACTTGGCTTTGAATTGCCTTTTTGGATTTAGCTTTTCATGATTCTTTAATAATACTATTGTATCACTATATGTAAAGTACAATGTACTGATGTACTAGTTGTCGAATCACAAATAAAAAATCAAAAAGTAGCTCTTGAGGGTGCATCACGGGGTGTCGAACCCGGACCGTCTCGGCTGTAGACAAGCCCACCCAAACTGCGCCACGACGACATGAGATACTCTCTCAAAACATCTAGCTAAAACCCGTCGTTAGGGTTTTTCGGCTGGTTAGCCGTATAAAGGGATGAAGAAACTATTCTTTGACAATTTTTGCTCTCAACTCACCGCTTCTCTCCCTCTTGAAACCAAAACTAAATCAAGGAGGATCCCGAGGAAAGCTGCCATAATTAATAAAGTGAAATTTTGAGATTATTCAAGTAATAACTAGTAATCGCTAGGGATTCTGAAATACCGGTTTACTATCAAGATTAGCTTATGAAAAAGGTTTATTTGTGAATTTTTTTGCTTAAAAACGGTTCTAATCAAAAAACGATCGAAAATCGATCAATACAAATCACTTCTTCCTGTCATTTCGATCAATACATGTCAGAAGTACAGCGTCTTTTCCAAATCATTTCTTTTAGCCTCTTTAGTCATTCCTTTTGTATTGTAGTATCTCTTTATTGAGGTCATATCTTTATTGAAGTCATATCTTTATTGTAGTATCTCTTTATTGAAGTTATATCTTTATTGAAGTCATACTATGTTGGTGCAAATGAAATTTCGTTTTTTTACAAACATTACAGTCATCCAAAATTTTTTTTGATAACAATTTATTTAAAACAATAAGCACCATTATTATCTATGACATCCCTCCAACGTTGCTACAGATTGCGGATCCCCTTCTCAAAGAACGCTTGATTCTGTGATGCAAAGTATTTGGTCACCCAATTTTCGACTTCTTTTGCATTCTTAAACTGGCAATTCTCAAGGGAATGTTGCATCGATCTGAAAAGGTGAAAATCGGAGGGTGCTAAGTCTGGACTATACGGCGCATGTGGCAAGACCTTCCATCCTAGCTTCTCTAGTTCCTTACAAGAGGTTTTTGCCGTGTGAGCTGGAGCATTATCACGGGGAAAGTTGATAGTTGAGGGATTTAGGCCCTTTTCACGCAAAATTTCGTCAACCTTCTTGAGTTGTTGAATAAAATAAGATGAATCGACTGTTTTTCCGGGCTCTAATAATTCAAAATGAACAAGTCCATTGATATTCCACCAGCAAGACAACATCACTTTGCGCCCATGATAATCCGGCTTTGGAGTTGGAATTGGCGCTTGACCTTTGCTCAGCCATTGTCTTTTTCGAGAAGTATTATCAAAGTGAATCCACTTCTCATCCATCGTCAAGATATTCTCAAAAAAATGGCTTCTTTTCGACTTCTGGAGCAAGATATGGCTGATCGGAACGCGTGCTCCCAGATTCTCAACACTCAATTGATGTGGAACCCATTGTCCATTACGATTTGTCTTTCCAATTATTTCCAAATGGCGTACAATTGTTGAATTGGAGATGTTTGGCAAGTTCTCGTGTTGTTTGCATTGGATCAGCTTCAATTAATTGTTCCAATTCATTGTTGTCGATGACTGTGGCACGATGTCCATGCGATTCGTCTTCAAGGGATTCATTACCATCTCGGAATTGGGCAAACCAGAGCTGGCATGATCTTTCGGTGATAACCTGTTCTCCAAAGGCGGAACAGAGATCACGATGTGAATCAGCAGCGTTTTTGCCCATTTTGAAGTCATAGAGAAGACACGTGCGCAGAACATACTTTTGATCCACCATGATCTAAAGCAAAAATCAATTAAAAAGTGAAAGCTCTGACTTTGAAAAAATGCGAAAATAAAGTAAATATCCAAGAGTACAAATGCACAAAAGAACATCAAATAAGCTCTTCAGATTAAAAAATAAGAACATTTTTATATCGACCGAAATTTCTTTTGCACCAACCTAATATCTTTATTGAAGTCACCAAAATCACAGAAACATCACAATGTTTTGAAGCAAATAAAGGAAAATTACCAAAAGATATTCTTGATTTTCTTTGATTTAAAAGCTTTCGTACCGGTAACAACCCAAATAAATTACGAATAGATTTTTAAAATAAATTTTAAAAAAGATTTTCAACGGTCATTGGCACAAGTGTATTGCAAAAATCACTAGAAATTAAAGATTCTCTCAAAAGGAAAAGCTTAGAAGTAAAAGTTAGTAAAGTAAAGATATTTAGTTGTTAGTCTAGCAAATCTCAAAAGTTATCCTTGACTTGGTGAATGATGAACGGAGGGAAGACTCGAGATGGGACGAGGTGCCGATACGGATAAGGGACGAGGCTGAAAATTCGGATATTGTCGGATATTGAAAAGTTACAAAATTTTGTTAGATTAAGATATCTTTTATCATTTTCCATCGCTTGTAATTTACATTTTAATCCTTTTTTTTCTAAAAGCTAGACAAATAAAAGACGAGAAAGTCAAACCTAAGAGTCTTCGGTCAACTTTTGATACTGAATTAGGCTTTCATCGGCCTAAATTCTTATAATCTACTATATAAAACAATCTACTCTCTGTCTATCTATACGGGCTTTTTCTCGGCTGTGTTTTGACCAATAAAGCTAAAAAATTTTTGTGAGAAAACCTTAGAATATATTGTATTGGGTTGGGGAGAATGAGTCGGCGCCGAAATTTAAAGAAACTTTTTGCACCCATAAAACCTTCTTTAAATACACGTTTTGTTTCATCAAAATGGTCCACTATTGCTTTACAAAATGGCTTTTGAGAGATTCCACAAAGCTTTTCTTTTTTGGGATTTTATGGATTCCCAAACACAGCTAATCAAAATGACAAAAAGTGCGACTCATTGCTTGAACAGTTTCTTCCACATAAACCTCCTTTGGTGTTTATATAAAAAAGATAGAGCACACTCAATTACATAAGTTACCAAATTTTCAGGAAGATCCCTCCAAACCGTTTACTCTAGATGACAGTTTATCGATTTTGTGAAAAAATGATCCTTTGTTGAGTTGAGGCGCTGTTTGAGTTCTCTTTTAAATATTATTTTGTAGAGAATTAGTTACCCTTCTACGGATATCAAACGCATATCATTTGACAAAGTCTGCTATAAGTTTTCGAAATTTCTTTGATTTTCGGCGCCGACTCATTCTCCCCAACCCAATAGTTGTGATTTACAAATAAAAATTAAAAATGAAAAGTTGAGGGTGCACTGTTCATCACAATTTCAGCTCCAAAATACTATAAAACAAGGGAAATTTTGTTTTAGCTTTCATTTAGAGAATGATGGGTATGAAATAACCACAAATTCAGGGCAAACTAAGGCCAGCCCAAGCTCGAGCTTACAAAGACAAAACTTGGCTTTAGCTTTTTCATGATTTTAATAATACTATTGTATCACTATATGTAAAGTACAATGTACTGATGTACTAGTTGTCGAATCACAAAGAAAAATCAAAAAGTAGAGCTTGAGGGTGCACTAAGGGGTATCGAACCCGGACCGTCTCAGCCGTAGAGAAGCCGACTACAACTGCGCCACGACGACATAGGCGGGGTCCCAAAACATCTAGCTTAAACCCGTCGTTAGGGTTTTGCGGCTGGTTAACCGTATAAAGGGATGAAGAAACTATTCTTGACAATTTTTGCTCTCAACTCACCGCTTCTCTCCCTCTTGAAGCCAAAACTAAATCAAGGAGAATCCCGAGGAAAGCTGCCATAATTAGCAAGCTGAAATTTTGAGATTATTCAAGTAATAACTAGTAATCTCGCTCTGAATCAACGATTTCATCTTATAGTTACAATCTTTTACCCCAACGCCGTGCCGATGAGACTTTGTTGAGCATCGCCGAGAGGATGGAGGAAAAGAATGCAAAGGGAAGATATCACAGTAACCGGAACGCCGATTATTGAGCCCCGGCTCATCGTTGGAGTCAGCTCAGCCTGGAAATCGGAAAATTCAATGAGTTTGAACAAAGTTTGAAGAGCCAAAAGTTTGAACAAAGTTAAGTCAAAGTCTGGGCTCGCTTGTTAGATGATTAAGCTAAAGCTGGTCAAACTCTACAAGTGTTATAGTTCTTTGAAAGTCTGTTTAAAGTCTGTTTAAAGTCTGTTTTACAAAGTCTGTTTTCAAGTTTACCTTCAAACTCCCCAATGCTGGACTTAACACCCCAACAGTGGCCTCGAAGAGACAAAACGCTAGCAAAAGTTTTGTGAAATTTGCATGCTTCCATGATAAAGATGTTTCAGGAAGATTGGCAAAGGAGAAATATAAGGCTGAATTGAATTGAATTGAATTGAATTTGAAAATTAAAACGAAACATTCTTTGACTTACTGAAAACTGAACAAAAAAGAGCTATTGCGAGCATTCTTGAAGTGGGAATCCGTTTAGAAATCGGTGAATGAAAGAGAAGAGCGCCGATCAGGGAAAACGCCATTAAACAAGCGTATGCGGCGCCGAATCTAGATTTCATTTCATTATAAAATTCGTTTCTTTTTTAGAATTTCAAGCTTTTTTTAAGCTTTTTTAAGCTTTTACCCAAGATTTGTGCCTTCAATAGCTTTCGATTTGAGCAGAATCGGTGACCAGACAAAGACGAAGATTTGGAGAGCTGACTCGGTGAAGATTGTGATCTGAAAAAAGAGATTTGTAAGTTTTTATAGAATCTGATTTGTTTTGAAGATCTAGCTTGTACTAGGTTTTAAATCTTTCTAGAATTCAAATCTTTCTAGAATTCAAATCTTTCTAGAATTCAAATCTTTCTAGATTTCAAATCTTTCTAGAATTCAAATCTTTCTAGAATTCAAATCTTTCTAGAATTCAAATCTTTCTAGATTTCAAATCTTTCTAGATTTCAAAGCTCTAAAAAGCTAATATTAACCTTATTAATCTATTATTATCTAGCTATTAATCTATTCCAAATGTTGTTTTTCTAGGTAATTTGAGGGCGTAGAATCGAAATTTTGAGATAACAGAGCGTGTGGAACCAATTTGAAAGACAAAACGGCTAGATCAAATTACAGAAAATTGTTGATTTTTCTCTTTGTATAACTCCGTCCGTTCGCTTCCACAAGCTCTGATATGCCAAAATTTCGATTCTACGCCCTCAAATTACCTAGAAAAACAACTTTTGGAATGGAAATTGGTTAATATTAGCTTTTAGAGATTTTTTAAAACGCGAAAAAAGGTGCGCTAATGGGCTAAGTGCGGAAAAAAAGGTGTACAAATGTGTCCGGGTGCGCAAAAAAAGGTCGCATTTGTCTTGTCCCACTCCCAAATATCTTAAATATCTTCTACAATTTGTAAGATATTCAGTTTATTTTAAATGCCATCGTTTCCTATTTTGCATTATCTCTTGAGAGAAACACACTCTAATTATTTTACGGTTATTCTTTTACATTATATCTTTAAAACAAAATAGTGATAATAGTGTTAAAAGCCATAAAGAGAAACGCAAACGAGATTTCAATTTCAATGTCGCCTAATTGTTGTTTTACTCTAATTGTTTTACGATTTGCTCCATTAGAAATGCCTGCCTATTTTTCTATAAAAGATCGTTGAAATGTTAAGAAATCTTTTGTTTCTAGTTTCTTTTTTTTTTGTTCGCAAGTGCAAACTCGACCACTCAAAAACCACTTGATTACACGATTTAGAGACTTTCGTCAAAAGAAACCGTTTTTGGTGTCGTTAGAAAAAAGAAAGAGCGTAAAAAGTTAGAGTTATATCCAAATTTGCAGAACAGCCAGTTAGATTTATAGCCAAATTTACAACAAAAACTGTTCAGCCAATTTCTTTTATATTGAATTTTTATGCAAAACGAGTTTTTTTGCTTGGAATTTCTTTAAAAAAGAGATACAAAAGTGTGGATTTTTTTTTTTCTATTTAAAGCAAATCGTAGATCAATTGGTAAAGTTTAATTTTTAAATAGATAATGCCATTTATAATGCCCAACTTATCGGCCTAATATCTATTAAAAACTTTTTCTAATTGTAAGCTGAAAAACTTCTGAAGTTATCGATAAATTCTTTGGATTAAGCTAAGTTTTTTTTGTGATATGAATTTGAATTTTGAAACAAACCACAGAAAGAACAAGTGCTACGGGTTGCCGAAAGAGAATCGCCAACTCTTTTGAGAATGATAGAGTAGCTGGAGGATCAGTAGAACTCGGCTTCATCCCGCCATCCCATCGACCACCCACGATGAAACCCGCTGAAAGAGATTTAAAGAGGTATTTCGGTTTTTGTATATCCTATTTTTGCTTCGAACCATTATAAGCCGTTCTCAACGACCGGCTCATGCTACCGGTTTGGCTGAGTGGCTAGTGTTCTTGACAAAGAGGCCAACCAAAGGCCAAGGGTTCGAACAAAGAGGACAAAAGGCCAAGAGGACAAAGAGGCCAAGGGTTCGAATCCAGCTCGTTTCCATTTGGCTTTTGCTTTTGCTTGATTTTTCAAGAAGCTATTCGCTTAGGCCAAGGTCCTTACGGATATATAGAATTATTACCCTTTCATTAACGAAAGCTAAGGAAAAGAATCAAGTTTTTGATTAATACCTTTCTATTAATTAATACCATTAATATTCTACCTTTTAGAAATCATTGAAAATTGCGGAAATTTTGATTCAAATTGACTGATAGTATAATTTTCTTAATACTTTTTAAACAACTTGTTGATCTGTGGATATAGAACATTGAAATCAAAAAACTATTTTCTTCAATACCTTTTAAGCACAACTAATCAATAAAACAACACAACTAACCGGCAACTAGAAACTTTTTTCTTTGGAACTCATTATTACGTGTGCTAGAGAGTGTTAAAAGAAAAAAAGATGTAAAGAAGGGATAGAAAAGGCGAAAAACTTAATAAAAGGTCACAAAGATGTGAAAAGAAAGAAAAACTCCTTAAATACCCCAAAACAAAAGCGTTAATTAACTTTCAGTTGCTTAGCTGAATATCTTTAACGGTCTTTTACTGGTTGTTGTAGGGCGAGAAATTGTCAGGATAAACTAGACTGTTAGTCTAGACGAAAACGACGGTAGAACTAATTCTGTTATATAAAGGCTCCGTCACATTCCATTTTAGACTCCCAAACACATTTTTTGACAGTTTTTGATAGTTTTTCCGGGATTCTTAGTGTTTTCAAGGTTTTTCTTTATGAAATCCTTGTAGAGGAGACTAAAACGCGTCGATTGGTATACAAATACCAATCGACGCTGTCTAGAACCACGATTTGTATACAAATACCAATCGTGGTTCTAGACAAACACTTTTGAGGCCCTTTAAAGAATACTGCTTTATTTTTGGATATTTCATTCACGTTTTCACGAATAAGATAGCTCAAAGGCAAGCAATGACTATCTTTTAAAATAAAAATTATTTGATACCATTGTCGTGGTTCTAGGAAATCAATTTTGAGGCCGGAATACCCCTTTAAATCATTTGAACTATCTATTAAAGCTAGAAGATAGATCACTCTGCTAAATCTACTATTCCAGAAACTCACCAATAATCATGAAGAGAGCTGATAAAGCGAATGGCATCGCGATCACTCCAGTCGATTGCTCCACTGTTTGCGAGAGCCATCCGGCGATTACCTGAATTGATTTGATTGATTGATTTGATTTGATTCAAATTCTAAACGATTTCTAGCTTGACTCACTGCTCCAAACGCAGCTCCAGTGGCCACTTTCGTGAAAGTATTCTCGATCCATTCCGGCGGGAAATCCATTCGACCAACGTGTCGCTCAGTATACCTAAATATTGAATATTGTATTGTATTGTATTGTAGCCGTAATATTGTAAATTAAGTCTTGGTCAACAGGTTTTCTAAAAGGCAAGAAAGCTACCCTAAACAAACAGCTAGCTTACATTTGATCATCCCAATTTTGGCAATCACAAACCTCAGTCAATAATATGAAATTAGGCTACAAACTGGTTGTTTAATTACAGGTTTCTTAAATAAGTATCCTTTAGAAAATGAAAACATTGTAACTTCATGAAACTCTCAAAAACACAAACCATTCTTGAAATGGTGTAGTCACAAGTCCTGCCGACACTCCATCGAGAACCCGACTGATGAAAAGCAACAAAAACGAGTCTGAAAAATGGTAAATGCAATAAAATGTGATTTACTATAGAATATAATTTAGAATATATTATAATATAGAATACAATATAGAATACATTATAGAATATAATATAGAATACATTATAGAATACATTATAGAATATAATATAGAATACATTATAGAATATATTATAGAATATATTATAGAATACATTATAGAATATAATATAGAATATACTATAGAATATACTATAGAATACATAGCCTAAACTTACCCGAAAACTTGAAGACACAAGCGATGGCAGCAGTGGAAAGACAAGTGAGGCATAAGAGACGAGTGCTGTATTTGTGGATGAGACGATTTGTGATTGAAGAGATGAGAAGGCAAGAGATGAGACCCGTCTGGAAAAGTGAATCAACTTTGAAAATGGTTTATTAGGTCAACGAAAAAGTCTTGCCAATTGACTAGTCGACAATTGACTAGTTTTGATTGTAAAGTTTCATAGTGTAAAAATATAACAGAAAAAAATGTGTATTTAAGACTAAACGAGCACTAGGTCTATGATCGAGGACTAACGAATTTCCTCGCCTAACGAATTAACGCCTAACGAATTAACGCCTAACGAATTAACGCCTAACGGACTAACGAATTTCCTCGCCTACTTTAACGAGGTCCAGTCAGCTTCCGTTTTTAAGAAAAGGTTACACGCTCTCTGCAAGATAAATAGGAAAATATCAGACTTTCAAATAGTCAATACCTTGGATAAATAAAAGCTATGGTTTTTAAGAAATTGTAATGCAAAAGCGGGTCAAGAAATCAGCCTAATAATCTCTTCAGCCTAATTGCCTAATCAAACAGCCAGCTTATATTCGATCAATTCAATCTTAAATCATTGACTAAGACTTGTGATTCCTCATCAAATGAGACCAAAATTGAGGTGATTGAATGCAAGCTAGCTGTTGGCTGCATTTGACTCTTTAACTCACCACATGAAGTGCTGCGATTTGCGAGGGAATGAAGCGATAACTGTGATAGAGAACGTACAGAAATGGAGCCTGAAATTTGAGATTTTAATTCTTTCAAGTCATCTAGAAGATTGAATGAAGAAGATTTTCAGAATAGTTAGCGCATAAGAGTTTTCTATTTTATCAAATTTTGATGGATCGACTATACAAGTGATATAAAAAATGACTTTCTTGACCTTACAGATTACATTTTTTACATTACATTACAGATTACAGATTTTCAACTACAAAATCGAATCTTCAAAACTCGCAAAGCCATGCAAAGAGCAGAGAAAGCCGAAATGAGAATGACTGTCTTCATCGTTGATAGGGAAAGGTGTACTGTAGAAGATATTGAGTACGCAAGTCATTCTCATTTCGTTCTCATTCTCATTCTCATTCAGTCATTCTCATTCCGGCTTTCTGTGCTCTTTACATGGCTTACTCAATACCTTTAGGATAAAGATTCTTCAGATCCTTCAGATCCTTCAGATTCTTCAGATCTTTATCCTAAAAAACTTAAAAAAGAAAAAATATCGTAGAATCATAATCTAACCGATAGATTCAATATGTTTTTTTGTTTGGCTTAGGTAATTTTTGGTCAGTAGAACAGCTAGACTAAAAGTCTTGTCCGGAATTACTCTGGTCTGGTTCAAAAGGTTCATTACCCTCAACTCTTGCTCTATCGAGTAATTAGAGTACTCTATCGAGTAATCAGTACTCTATCGAGTAATCAGTTTTGATCCTGATTACTGTCCTCTTTAATGTAATGATACAAAACTGAAGAACTAACAGTATTCCAGAGCATAAAATGTGTCCACAAACCTGCAAGCTCTCGGCCAACAACACGATGAGATACGGCGGGATGAAAAGCTTTTGTAAACCGCGAAAGTCGAGATTATTTTGAGCAGAGTCACTGAAAAATAAAATGAAGCTATTAACTGAGAATTCTTTACCGTTTAAATCGCTCTTTCCTTTCTTTCAGATATAAATAAACCGCTGATAAAACGAAGAGAAATATGGCAAGCGAATAGGAAATTGTATTCAACGAGAAATCCATCGATGCCACAAACACATTAGAGAAAATCGAAAATAGAATCAAGATTCTTTTATGTAAATGCTCGAAATTTGAATGTTTAGATAAGGTTTTTGTGGTGACTTTTATGTGGTTTGTATTCCGTTTTTCTCTTTTCGTCTCTTTCTCAAAAACGCCACGCTTGATTAGGTACGGTAGGATGGGTGTGTTTGAGAAGGAAATAGTAACAGATTGGCATTTTAGATTGGCAAACTTCTGTTTACCACTCGTAGTTGATTTCCTTTCGGAGAATATCGAAACTTCTAGCTGAAATGGCGGTGAAATGTGAGTGTGAGAGGTGTACTTTATACTTTGGTTTACTTTGTACTTTGGTGTACTTTATACTTTGATGTACTTTATACTTTGGTCTACTTTGTACTCTGGTTTACTTTGTACTTTGAGTGGTGTACTTTGAGGTGTACTTTGTAGACATGTGTTATGTGACTCGATTTTTCAAAAGCGTCAATTCGTTTCGAGTCAAGTCGACTTGAGTTCAAAGATTTTAACAAAGAATAAGCTTCAGGAAACGATTACATTAACAATCACATACCGTAAATACTGTAATAGTACCCCACCCCCATAATGACGGTGCGGAGTGTGGCGTAGTCTAGCTTTGGACGAGTGTTTCTCGACACTGGTTTATGCTACAATGCGCGCTTAGGTATCAAAAAATAGCCCTGAATTTCAGCTATTTTTTTGATACCAAAGACGCATTTTTTTGAAAGTACGGGCGCTTTGAAAAAAATGAAATACTAAAAAACTTTTGCGACTACGCGACTGTACGAGGGCGGTGGGGTACTATTACAGTAGGTACGGTAGCATTAAATCTTTTAACTAAATGTTTATTATCTATGAAGGAAATAGAATGAACACTTTAAAAAAACAATAATTGAATTCACAAAAGCCTATAACAAAGTGAAAAGCGCATCATGACAAATTGGCTTTTCTATGAATTCATCCAAATCCTCGTATTCGTCGTCCAACATGAGCTCCTCATCCTGCTTATCACATCGATGGCTTTCTTCACGCTCAAATGCAATTTTCCGTAATTCTTTCGATGTCGGCCATGTGCTTTTCCTAAAATTAATGTAAATTTAAGCAAAAATTAGTATGAAATAACTGAAAAAATTACTTCACATGAGGCTGATTGCAGCTAATGTTTAACAAAGCATGGACAGTAGAATACTTTAGATTTTGTCTTCAAGAGTTGTTCAATAACAGCCCGGCTATCTAAAAGAGCTATTTTGTTCAAAAGTATTTTTATTATTCTCGTTGGAGAAAAATACCATTGCAATTCTGCATCCCTAACTGCTTTTTTTACATTTGCGGCGCCGTTTGTAACCGCAAGGCTAACTTTATTCAACAAATAATATTTCTCGAAAGTGTTTTTCATGTGGTTTCGAGATTATAAGCGTTATGACTAAAAATTCCTTTAGAGTTATAATTTTTTTATTTTTCAATTAAGGTATCGGCTCTTTCCCTGAACCGTGGCTTTTGTCAAAAAAAAGTCAGTTTCGTCGTCTTTTGCAATTTTTTATGTTTTTTTGCTTTTTTTTCTTACCAAATAGTCTTTTAAAATTGTTTTAACGTATTTTATTAAGTTCCACATGCACATTTAATCAGAATTTAAAGAACAATCGTAAGAACAACAATTTTAGCTTGCGTTTTGCCGAGATGCTAAAATTGTTGTTCTTACGATTGATCTTTAAATTCTGATTAAATGGGCATGTGGAACTTAATAAAATACGTTAAAACGATTTTCACATACTTTCAACGTGGTATGGTGTGTAAGCGAATGCGCGGCTGCGAGAGACGGCTGAAGCTTGCCAGCGAACACGAGAGAGCACCAGCCCTCGCACACGAGAGAGACGCGAGACGACACGACTGTGTGTACCTTTCGTGTGTCTCGTAAGAAAAAGCGGCATCTGGCACACGGCTCGTCCACATAGGGCGACAGAGACCGGATTCTTCGGTTTAATTACCCAAGTTTGAGGTTAGCATTAACCCCGAGACCTCCCAACAGTGTCTCGAAAAAATTTTGGAACGGGTCCCCGCTAGGGGATGCACAAATGAACTTCAGAACGTGAAATGATTTGATTCTTTATTTCATTTTTATCGGGATTTCTTAAGAAATTTGTCGACTCTTCACTTCACTTTCAGTGAAACGGTTTGTCATTATAAGGATTGAAGTCGATATCGTGGATAAAAATATGATAGGCTAAAGTCAAATTGATGCCAAGTCCTCCCGCACGTGTCGACAGCAAAAAAACAAAAAGCGACGGATCGTTGTGAAAAGAATTGATCATACCCTGCCTAAATAGAAACAATCCAACTCTTTTACTAATATTTGAACGAACCTTTCCATAACTGGGGTGCTTCCATCCATTCGGCAAAATGAATGACCTCGAACCCGTAAGTAAACCTCCAAAATGTCAAGCATTTGGGTAAACTGCGAAAAAATCAAGACTTTATCGCCCTAAATAATTAAAGCCATGAAGTCATGAAGCCAAAACAATAAAAACCTCTGTTTTGATTGGGGGCAGCCTTTGATCCAAGAATTTACACTTTCCACTTTCGATTGCTACACTATCATCGATGCAAAATTTTGAAGTTGATGGAAACTAAAAAATGGATATGTAAGAAGACAAAATTGACAAAACCTTTTTGCAGATCTTATGTATTTGATAGTCCGACAGGCAAAGAAGATCTTCGGCGACATGTTCAGCTCGTTTCTTCGCATATTCTTTCTCCTGAAACCATGGTACAAGCAAGTATTTGTATACGTCATCCACCTGTCGAACTAATTTTTTGGATACAACCATGCTAAGATTCAAGACTGAAGAGATTTCCACAACAAAGATGGAAGCAGAACAGAAGCAGAGCAAATAAAACATCAAAACTTCAACATTCAGCAATTTGACTTGTGCATCCCCTAGCGGGAACGCGTTCCAAAATTTTTTCGAGACACTGTTGGAAGGTCTCGGGGTTAATGCTAACCTCAAACTTGGGTAATTAAACCGAAGAACGCGGTCTCTGTCGCGGTATCACGACGAGCCGTGTGCCAGATGCCGCTTTTTCTTACGAGACACACGAAAGGTACACACAGTCGTGTCGTCTCGTGTCTTTGCGAGGGTTGATGCTCTCTCATGTTCACTGGCGATCGCCCATTTCAGCCGTCTCTCACAACCGCACGCTTGTACGGAAAATACAAGTACGGGAACTTTTGGCGCACCCTGTACTTTTGCTAAATGTAGGCTTGTTCTAGGTGTATAAACAAAAGATGTTCTGCCACAATAAAATTAACGTGAAGAGTGGCCGTAAAGTGTCGTGCCCACAATCACTTGCCAAAGGATCACGGCTTTGAGGTAAGTTTTTAAACTGTGGCAACGATAGAAACATTTTAGATTCGCAAAATACGAGCCAAACGTGATCTCAGCTCGGAAAAGTGGATCACCGATGTGGATCACCATTGCAACCGCACTTATACGTCAACAACGTAAATGTCAACAACACCTCGCCGTCTGTTCATGCAATAGACAACAGCTGAAAAGCTGGCTGAAAAGCTGGCTGAAAAGCTGGCTGAAAAGCTGGCTGAAAAGCTGGCTGAAAAGCTGGCTGAAAAGCTGGCTGAAAAGCTGGCTGAAAAGCTGGCTGAAAAGCTGGCTGAAAAGCTGGCTGAAAAGCTGGCTGAAAAGCTGGCTGAAAAGCTGGCTGAAAAGCTGGCTGAAAAGCTGGCTGAAAAGCTGGCTGAAAAGCTGGCTGAAAAGCTGGCTCAAAAGCTGGCTCAAAAGCTGGCTCAAAAGCTGGCTCAAAAGCTGGCTCAAAAGCTGGCTCAAAAGCTGGCTCAAAAGCTGGCTCAAAAGCTGGCTCAAAAGCTGGCTCAAAAGCTGGCCCAAAAGGCAGTACAAACATCAGGAACTGGAAAGTGACAGTCACCTATCAATGTCGCTGAATTTAATAGCAAGTTAATATCTTATTCTACTTTTTGTTTTTAGAATCAATTGTCCTACACGAGGATACTTGCGGAAATTTTCCAGCGTCTTGTCAATGAGCTTACAAGATATTTGTCTCCGATCACGGCATGACTGCTCACGGTAAGTATTTCAGCGTTTTTTGTTAAATAATTGACTATATTTAGGATGAAAATTGGGCTTGTAACGGCACTTTTTACAGCTCACCATACAGCTTCATACAAATATACATCGTTGGTTATTAGTGGATGGAAGCAAATTTTCCCTTCTCAGTATCATTTTGATGATATTTATTCCCAAAAATCATTCAAAACTTGGCCGCTTGTTTGCAGACGGCGACTCGATATCGAATTTCACATTGCTCGTCGTTCCACTTGTAGAGATAGGCGGCCGATTTGTCGAACGGAGCCATCAAATCCGAATACGTCTGCAGATTTAGAAAAGCTTAAATGTTATTCAGTCAATGTGTTGGCACCTGCAAACAAAATTCGTTGTTTCCGTTGTTACTCGGCTCTCCATCGGCCCATTTCGTATAGTTGAACGACGTCCCATCCAGCCACTTCCAATCGGTTTTCTCAGGGCCCGTCTGAAGTGAAAGCTGATCAGTTTAGAGTGGAACAAAGCACCCAAAAATTCATTTGAAAGTTGCCTATTGCTTAAACGCAGCCGTGCACATGCAACAAACAATGTATAGTAGACATGGTTTCGGATTGGATCGAATAGGATCCAAAAATTTGGATGATTCGGCCATAGTTTTATGGTTTTTATGCGCCTAATTGCTTTTAGTGTTTGTAAAAGTAAACGTTGCAATGATCCGGCAAGAAATCGGTTGATCCGATTCGTCTCCTCAGCCGGAAAACGGAATTTTCGTCGAATCGAAAATGAATTTGTCGGATTCATCATCCGGAAGTTAAATTTGCGGATGACCCAATTCGAGCCATCATCCGTAACCCATTCCAATGTGTAGCTACCCGAGAATGCCTACCCTTTTTCCTCCAATCAACGGCACTTGAGACCAAGTCGGCTGTATGATTCCGGCTTTCCCTAGATCTGAAACGAACTTTCTTAAGCATTTAAAGCATTTAAATTTCGTAAGCATTTAAATATATGCACCAAGCTCGCTAAGAAGTTTTTTTAGGTGCATATGCACATTTCTAGGTGTACATGTACATGGGATTACGATTAATTCCCTCCGTAAAGACTTGCCATTGACGAAATCGTTTTCCTCGTCTGAGTGAATCGACGCGAGAAACGAGTTCATCATCCGACAACCCTCGTCGGCCTCGGTGAAGATCACGTTGAAGATTGTCTTCAATTCGTACAGTCAAATATGAAAAGTACAACAGAAAACCTTGTAACATTGCTTTAATTTCTCCGAGTACACCCAACCAGTCGGGCACGGTGAATAGGGTGGACAGCTTGGGGGCTGATTGCTCGGGTCCTGAATTGGAATTTGATGAATTCCCCCACTAACATACAGCAGCATCCACCTGTTGTGGTTGACTGAGACAAGCGAATGGAAACATTCCATTCCAATTCGACGTCGTCCACTTGCCGCTCGTTAGATTCATCAAGAGGTTCCCAGATGGAGAGCCTAAACTTGTTAGGCAAGATTGCTTAAGAAACTTTCACTAACAGGTTTTTTGCATTGAATTTCATAGGAATGAATCTGTTTAAAATGCAGATTCAAAATCAAATTTTCTCTAGAAGTGTTTGATTGTGAGTGAAAGTGTTTAAGTTGCTTGTGTCTTTTCTCTATCAACTCGATTACACTTGCGAGCAAAAGCACTGTTTTGAGGGGTTTTCTTCGTCTAAATAATCACCTTTGACGACGAAAAGTGCCAAAAAATAAGCCAATTTTTTGGATGGAAATGATCAATGATCTCTTCATCTCAAGGCCAACAACTACAGAAACAAACCTTCAGTCAGAGCAGAGAACTCTGCAGAAGATCCATCAATCCACGTGATTTTCTTTCCATTGAAAGTTCCGCCCAACCAGATAAACTTTGTTGACTGAGAAAAGGGCTTTTAGCTACATGGAAAATGAAGTTCAATTAAGTTCTCTTACCTCTGGAAGCACTTTGGTCAGACCCAAGACTTTCTCATTTTCCTTCTCCGATTTTATCGAGACCAAATTCCCGTCATAACTAAAATTTTCTTTTTCTTGACTTGTTCTCAACGAATATCTCAATCAATTTGTCTCACTCTAAGCAAAATTCCTTTGCGCTTTCGAAAGTTCCATTGAGTTTCACGACGAACAAACAGCTTCCCTCAATTTCGCCCGGAATTCCGCCTTTTGGGCAAATTGAAAGCGAGAAACCTAAAGTGGTATCGATTGATCGAAATATCGATTTAAAATCTACCAATCCATGTCGAAATAGAAGAGATTGTTAGTAAGAATCGATACATTCAAAAATCTGTTGCTGAGCTGATTGAAAAGTTTCTCTCAACGATATGAGAAATTTGTTTGTCGAACAAATTCAGTCAAATTCTTATCCATAGATTAGAGGACTCTCGATTAAAGCCATTTCAACAACTCCCCTTTCGACAAAACAGGAAAACACTCTTATCAGGTATTATGGAAAACAAAAATTAGTGAAATCACTGTGTTGACCCGGGTTCTTATCGGCGCGAATTTGAACAAACTGAGCGAACAAATTGAAGACTCTATCAGAGAATTCCTTGTTAACTTTAGTGAATTGAAGCTTCATTCTGCTACTAAGAAAGTCTATAAATTTAATAAACACAAAAAATCTTGTTTAAGATCGCAAATCGGTCGACTAGAAAGCTCTTCGTCTCTTCCGAAGAGCCAACTCTTCAAATTAACCCCTCGAACTTTATCGCTTTTAGAATACATTATTGCCGAAATTTCCATTTACTCGATTGCAAGAAACAATTTTACTTTGCTTTTTTTAAATGAATAGATAAATTCTCCAAATAATAAAAAAGTTACTCTACATAAAGATTGGATTGGATCTATGTCTCAGATTCAACAAAGAAACGGAAAAACGGGCAAGAAACAAAAATAGATTCGCTGTTCTTACAATATTCAACAATTTTGATTATCACCATAAAAACCATTTCTGCTTTTAAATCTTTTCCTCTAGCAAAACAGTCAGATAGAGTTGGGAATCCCATGTGCCGTAAGCTTTTTGCGTTCTTGTGGATTGGTTTTGAGACTTGGAAGTCGATTTTGCACATAAAGCAGTTAATTCAGTTTATTGTCTCGTAGCCAAGTGTGGGATTTTCTCTCTTGTGTTTGAATAAAGATTGCTGTAAGATTGAATTTGACTGGACAACTACCTACGGTTGGTTAGGTCGAACCCGAAAACTACAAAGGTGTTGTGGTAGTGGCTCGACCATAACACACCGTACTGACCTTCAAAACGCACTTTTTAATTGCATTGATGCGAATTTTCTTCTTTGTTATTGTTTAGCCTTGTTTTAATAGATTTTTATGAATCGTGTTCTCGAGATTGAGACCACGAACTATGCGGAGAGGGTGCAGTAAGAGCCGATGAGAAGACCAACATCGAGAAGAGTCTCCTGGATCCTGGCTTGTGATAGACGGCTGAAATAGGCGGTGGCCAGCGAACACGAGAGAGCCTCAGGCCTCGCAGAGACGCGAGACGACACGACTGTGTGTACTTTTCGTGTGTCTAGTAAGAAAAAGCGGGATCTGGCACACGACTTGTCCAGATAGCTCGATAGAGACCTGAATCCTCGGTTTAATTACCCAAGTTTGAGGTTAGCATTAACCCCGAGGCCTTCCAACAGTGTCTCGAAAAAATTTTGGAACGCGTTCCCGCTAGGGGATGCACAAATGAGCTTGAAAATGTGAAATGTCTTAAAGCTCGATTTCGTTTTTATCGTGATGAATTTTTGATTTACGGGGTCATGTAATCAGAAAAATCACCAAAGAAGTCAAAAAATTGCGACACCAAAAAAACGGCTTAGACACCAATACCACCACTTTGTGCAGATCTCTCCAGTAATGCATAACACCATCAGAGCCGTCGAGGTTAAACTTCTTTTCGTCGCGAAAGAATACCTAAATACAGGAAAACTTAGTTATAAAAAGCCCAGCCCAACCTGGTTTCAGTCGTAGTTCATACGATTCTTTGCGAAGTTCAAGCTGGCTTTCTGCGCTCAGGTTTCAAAACAGGTTACTTGTTTAGTTTCTTCAAGTCGATATTCGGGTTTTCTTGGACGGCTCGCCAAATGGATGTCTTTGAAGCATTGAAATTCAAAAAGCAATTGATTTACCCTGTTAATTTGGGCAAAAATTGATTCCCCAAGTCTCTAGACCGATCCACAAAAATGCAAAAAGCTTACGGCACTCGGGATTCCCAAGCCGTCTCCGATCCAAGTACTAACCGAGCCCAACGTTGCTTAACTTGGCAGATCGGACGGGATGCCGTGTTTTCAACGTGGTATGGTCGTAAGCGGGTGTGCTGCTGTGAGAGACGGCTGAAATAGAAGGTCGCGAACACGAGAGAGCATCAGCCCTCGCAGAGACGCGAGACGACACGACTGTGTGTACCTTTCGTGTGTCTAGTAAGAAAAAGCGGGATCTGGCACACGGCTCGTCCTCATAATGCGACAGAGACGGCATTCTTCGGTTTAATTACCCAAGTTTGAGGTTAGCATTAACCCCGAGACCTTACAACAGTGTCTCGAAAAAATTTTGGAACGCGTTCCCGCTAGGGGATGCACAAATGAGCTCGAAAATGTGAAATGAGTTGGAGCTTTGATGCCTAATTTCATTTTTATCGTGATTTAGCAGTTCACAATAGAATTCATTTACCTTGTTAACCAATTTCAGCTCTGGTGTTTCCTTCTCGACGTCTGGATGACTTAGGGTTTCTGTCCGGGTATCTTGCTGCTATTAGAAAACTTCTAATTTAGGGAGAAATCAATCGTGCACATGTTATCTAATGCCAAGATCGCGCTAACAGTAAGAATGTTACCTAGAATGACAGCTATTTTTCAAAAGGTTTAGAGAAAGAAAAATGGTTTAAACAGCATAAATGCAAATTCGATCCCCTAAGTAATTGACAATGTACAATTAATTTGCACCCAATTTTCAAATAGTTTCAAGTGCCTGGTCAGCCTCATCACAATTCACAAAAGTCACCAATAATTATCGATGTTTTCCTCTTAGGTGCAACGCTTCTCTCAACATTACTCACTTATTAGCCCCATTGATTCTCAGTTGTGATTATGAGATCAGATTATTTTATCCAATTATTCCAAATAAACTTCGAAAGATAAGGCAAAATAAGATCAAAGTGAGCAGAAAGTGACAAACAGAGAGTTGAGCACAAACTGTACAAAAAATTTCGAATACTAGTAAAATTTTGATTAGAAATTGTTACGGCAAATTATTCCAATCGATCGGCTTCATCCCGTGATCTTTCAATGCTTTGTTGACTTCCGAGAAACATCGGCTCCCTTTGAAACCTCGATAGCAACTCAACGGTGAAGGATGGGCTGTCTAAATGTAAAAATATAACTTATAACTAGCTATAGAGTAATCTAAAAATTATTTTGCCATTTTAAATTTTTCTTCTAAAAATACATACTACTCAATATTAAGTTTGAAGTAAAATACCTACCATAATCACCTTGTGCCGATTTTGGTCGATCAGCTTGCTCTTTTTCTGTGCATCTGCGCCCCAAAGCAAGAAGACGCAGTATTGTACATTCTTTGAGATAAATTCGATTACCTAAATGTTATAATTAAATGTTACAATTTAAAAGTTTACAGTAATGGAAATAAACAAAGAAACCTTGTTCGTGAAAGTGTGCCAACCAATCTGCGAGTGTGAGTTAGCTTTGTGCAATCTAAAGAAAAACATAATTGATTAAACTCACTCGTATTAAAACTAGTATTAAAAGCATTCGTGGATACTCACTCGACAGAAAGCGCCGCGTTCAACATGAAAACTCCTTGCGTAGCCCAGCCCAACAAATTGCCGTGTTTTGGAATATTGAAACCTGAATAGGAGAAGATTAAATCTAGAATATTTTGCCGCTTCAATCTGCATAATTGTATTAAACGAAACCTTCGATATCTGCAGCTAACTCCTTGTAGATGTTGACAAGTGATGGTGGGATGGCGACCCCTTTCTTTACCGAAAATGATAAACCATGTGCCTAAAAAATAAAAATTTGCGTATTATTAGTACAAAAATACCTGATTTGTATCGTGATACGGATCTTGTCCAAGGATCACCACTTTCACTTCGCTTAGTGGAGTCAAATTGAAGGCATTGAAGATCTCGTCTTTTGGTGGCCTCACTGTTATTTTCTAAAGCAATGTTGTGATGGGCTTTCCATAAAATTATGCAACCATTTTAAAAACAAACCTTTTCATATTGTTTCTGTAGAAATTCTTCGATGTTCTTCATGTAGGGCTCCTCAAATTCATCAATAAGTCCGGCTTTCCATTGAGGCTCTTTCAAGTAGTTGACGAGGGTGAAAGTAGTTGATGAGGTAGGCGGTATGCTTTCTCCGTCTTCCGTCATCTAAAGTTTAGTTATTAAATCAAATAACAAAAAACTTCATAAAATTTTATGACTCAAAAGATATTCTAGAAACGAAAGTCTGAAGGTTAAAAGGGTTCTAAATTTTTAAAAGTTTAGCAACACTTACCGCTGTGGCTGGTCTTTTGACGGCTTTCTTGAAAATCGAGAAGACGTCCTTCGGCTTTTCCATTATCACTTGTTTCGGCCGACTTAAAAGTCTGGGTGAAATAAATACGTGAGAAAAATTCACTAACGTTGTTGTTGCCATCTTCGATTTATCGATTGCTTCAATTATCATCTCGCTTTTTCTCGATGAGCCCTCGCAAGTGATGGGATTTGCTCCTTGCGTCAAGCTCAACGCGTTCTTTAGCACTTCATTCGGCGAAAGGTCGAGAATCTAAAAAATATATTGTCAAGAACTCAAACTTTAAAAAATTGAGATCCTTTAAATAAAATTGCGTACTTTTTCAAACAAAAATACAACTATCAAGTTACATACAGTCACAGTGGTGGAAAAAAAATGCATCATGTGCTGACGAGTCAATTGCGACCCTCTATTTCCTCCAGAAAGCGACTATACGGGGAGGGGGCGCTACAATTAGAGGTATTACGAGAATTCTCGTTTCACAAGTGCCCACAAGTGTTCAATCGGGTTGCGATCGGGCGAATACGGTAGAGTTTGAAGGAGAAAAACGTTGTTGAGACGGAACTAACCGGGTACACGGACAAAACGATGTCCAGGCAACCTGATTCTTCTTCCCATCATCACGCCACTTTTGTGTTTTGGCTCATTGTCCTGTTAGAAAAGCCACGCCGAATCCATAACTGTTTGTGCATGTGAGAGCATCGATATCAAAAGTATATCCGAGTATTTGGCTGCATCCATGATTCCATGGATGTGAACAAGAGGCCCGATTGTCATAGAAGAGAACAACACATGATATCTGCGCCATTTTACCGTCAGAGCCGTGTCTCTTAATTCGTATCGCATTCCAATTGGCCTTTTGGTACTTATCGGGAACAGCGGCCCCACTTTATTTTTACTCAAACCCACTTTTTCTAGGGTAATTCGATGCGCTGATCACGAATTTCATAGCGGGGGATTCTGAAAATACATTTTGACAAAAAATGTACTTTCAGGGGACCAGAAGCCACCACCCCTAAAGTGTACTGTACACTCCTGCAGGTATAGAGTGAGCTCAAAACAAGATTCCAAGGATTTAGCCTTTATCAAAAACTACTTTTCTAGGGTTTTTTCGAGTTCTCGATAGGAATTTGGTGAAATTAAACCATTAAAAAAATTAAAAAGAAAATTTCGAATCTTTTTTTATTTTTCTAATCTGATTTGACTGGAATTGCACTCAGGACTCTAAATTACCCCAGAAAAATTAATTTAGCGCAAAATATCCAGTTCTAACAGCTTATTTCGGTCCCCTTATAGAATTTTACAGTCAGTACACTTTAGAAGTGGTGGCCCCTGAGCCACGAAACCCGGTCAAAATCCCTTTTCGGAATCTCTCACTATGAAATTCGTGATCAGCGCATCGAATTACCCTAGAAAAAGTGGGTTTGAGTAAAAATAAAGCGGGGCCGTTGTTCCCGATAAGTGCCGGCCTTTTAACCATGTAGTAACCATTAGAGTTGAAAAGATTTAGTTTTGTCTCGTCGCTGCAAAGCACGTGCCTCCAAGTGTCCACAGTTCAATATTGATACTCCAATTGTTTTTCTGTGACTCGAATTCATCAACGGTTTTCGTGCTAGCCTTCTCGAATATAATCCATGTATTTTGAGTCAACTCCTCACCGTTTTTGCTGTCACGTTCACGTTAAAGCTATTCTTCAGAAATTTCGTTCCACCGGTAGCAGTGAGGCATCTAAAATAAGAAAATTATAAATTGTAAAAAAATAAGGAAGAAAAAAAGAGTTCAAAAGTAAAATCGTCGATGGTGCAATGTTTTTTTTCCACGCTTTTTTAATAAATTTCCTTCTAAAAAACAAGACACACATTGAATACACTTTTTTTATTTTTAAGAATGCTAGTCTGCAAGTAAACTAAAACAACTAAAGTCAAATGACGACGCCGTGCCGAATTTTTAGGAAAAAATGGGATTTTGTCAAGGGTGCAATTTTTTTCCACCACTGTATAAACCATTAGAGTGGCATTTAAAACATTTTGATGTTACTGAGATTGTCCAAATCTTTTCTCCCACTCTCCCGCACTTTTCTCCCACTAAATCTACACAACAATACCCCTTTCGGTCACTCATTCCCGCATTTTCTCTCTAATTGCTCAAAAATAACACCAAATCAGAAACCCCTTTGTTGCAACAAGAACTGACATAAAGAGGGAGTGGGACAAGTGCGACCTTTTTTTTGCGCACCCGGACATTTGCGCACCTTTTTTCCGCACCTTGCCCATTAGCGCACCTTTTTTCACGTTTTAAAAAAGCTCTAAAAAGCTAATATTAACCAATTTCTATTCCAAAAGCTGTTTTTCTAGGTAATTTTAGGGCGTAGAATCGAAATTTTGACATATCAGAGCTTGTGGAAACAAACGGACGGAGTTATACAAAGAGAAAAATCGACTACTTTCTGTAATTTGACCTAGCCGTTTTGTCTTTCAAATTGGTTCCACAAGCTCTGATATGTCAAAATTTCGATTCTACGCCCTAAAATTACCTAGAAAAACAACTTTTGGAATAGAAATTGGTTAATATTAGCTTTTTTAAAACGCGAAAAAAGGTGCGCTAATGGGCAAGGTGCGCAAAAAAAAAGGTCGCATTTGTCCCACTCCCCATAAAGAGACTAAAAAAATCGACTGTCTCAAGAACAGATTCTCCGATAAAACTGATAAAAAATAAAGTTAAATGATTTATTTGATAATCAGAAAATTGTATAGCATCCTTTTTCTTCTTGCAGTGGAGCAGGGGCCGGGCCGAAAATTTGCATCTATAGGTCATCGGGCATGCTGAATCCAATAAAAATAGTTTCAGCACCTGATTTTCACATACTTTCAACGTGGTATGGTTTATAAGCGAATGCGCGGCTGCGAGAGACGGCTAAAGCTTGCTAGCGAACACGAGAGAGCATCAGCCCTTGCAGAGACGCGAGACGACATGACTGCGTGTACCTTTCGTGTGTCTCGTAGGGAAAAGCGGCATCTGGCACACGGCTCGTCCAGATAGCGCGACAGAGACCGCATTCTTCGGTTTAATTACCCAAGTTTGAGGTTAGCGTTAACCCCGAGGCCTTCCAACAGTGTCTCGAGCAAATTTTGGAACGCGTCCCCGCTAGGGGATGCACAAATGAGTCTCGATCTCGCCGAATATTTCGATGGATCGAAATTTAATTTGCCTTGTTTTCAATGTCAACGACCATACAGTCGTAAGCGAATGGCAATTGTAAGAGGCGGCTAAAATAGGCGGCCGAACATCAGAGAGCTTTTTAGATTTCATTGAAAAAGTTTATTCTTTCTCTAAATCGATTCTAATAACAATGATAAACGAGAATATTATAAGCAACGGTACCCGATTTGGTTGATCAGAAAAAAAATGGACAAGATTTAAAGGAAAAGGGAAAAGTAAGGGCCAATAAATGCAAAGTGAGACGGATACCCATTTTTCGGAAAAAAAATTCAATTCATTGAAGAAATTGAGGGGATTTCTTTGAGGAAATGGTCGAATTCGTGTTCGGCAGCCGGGACGGGCTCTCTGAAAATGAAAATTTTGTAGTCTTACGCTTATTATGATAAGTGAACTTTCTTTGACCTCTTAAACCATTTGCAAAACTTTGAGTGTGAGCGGTGAGAAGTGTCTCTCTAACTCTTTTGCTTGATTTTCTCTTTTTTTTTGCGTGAATATTAATACTTTAAACCTATACCGTAGTATATGAGAAGTTGATTGGCATTTACAATCTGAAAATTGTTCATCCAAGCTTTTGTCTTGATCTACTTTAAGCTCAAAATGCAAAAAAACTTTTGTCGACTTTTGAAAACTACCGTAATCCAAAGGACTTTCGGAAAGTATCGTAACTTTTTTAAAACGTGTCAACTTTTACCGTAATATCGAATTTTTATCCAATCTACAGGGTGTGTCATAATTATTGCAACAAGAGTTCAAAGACCGTTTGTGATGTCAAGAATGTGATGTCATGGGCGTGTAAAGCCAATAACAATCAAAATTGGACCTTCATGCAAGATGGAGCTCCCGCTCACACGAAGGAGACGGTTCAGGACTGGTGTGTGGCCAACTTTCCCTCAGTGATCACCAAGGATGAATGGCCTCCAAACTCACCGGATCTCAATGTGATGAACTTTTGCATTTGGGCAATCTTAGAGGCTAATGTCTGCTCTCGAAAACACAAAGGATGATTTGACCAAAGGATGGAAGGCGACTCCTCAAGATGACATTCGGGCCGGAAGGCATATCCGAACCGATTAAGGGCTGTTATCAAGGCAAAAGGCGGTCATATCGAATGATCTCTTGTTTTCTTATTTGTTACTGTTAAATAAAGCTATTTCTGTTTAAAGAATCTTCTTCCAGTGAAACTTCTTGGTGTGCAATGCCTTGAGTATCTTGTTGCAATAATTATGACGCACCCTGTATTTACAGTACTGGACAATGAAATATGATATTTGAAAAACGATCGTTACTTTCGCGCCTCTGTAACTCCCTTGTCTTTGAGTTTAAACTATTAGTGTTATACATTTTCTGAAAGCTCTTTTCAAGGACTACACAATGGTAATATTAATATTTAGAAATATGGTATTTTTGACGCATTTCAGCGCGCACAAGATGGGATACTCAAAATTGTTGATTTTCAAAGCTGTTTTTCTTTATGATAGAGTGCTGGAGTCGCTCTGAAACTACGATTTTCGGAATCTGCGCAAAAATTTACCTTAGAATAATCAATATTTGTAAAATTTTATCACAGTTTCATAGCGAAAAAAGTCACATTTGCGAAATTCTCACTTCTTGAGCGGTTCTTTACAAAAATTGTGTTGCGTGCAACTTTGAGTGTTTTTCTTTCTTTGCCTTGGGTAAAATGATAAAATGACTGTTTTTAGGTGCAATGGGAAAGCAACGAGGATGCAAGGATCTTCATGTGCTTACACAACAAGCAATCCTTAACGGCAAAAAGCGAGGTCTTAGCCAGAACCAGTTATCGGAACAGTTTACCGTCTCTCAGTCAACCATCTCCAGGTTTCTACAACGATCTAAAGTTCGAAAAGTCGAAACTTGAGCGACGAACTAAGAATCTCAAAGCCGGCAATGCCAATGAGAGGTTTGCACAATTGGAGCAGGCTTGGAATTCAATCACCGTCAGTTTCATCACTAATCTTCTTGATTCAATGCCTCGGCGATGTCAAGCTGTAATCGACGCTAAAGGATTTGCTACTAAATACTGAAAGCCCATTGTGTGCTCTGGAGGTTTCTTATTAACCGCTCAAGAAGTGAGAATTTCGCAAATGTGACTTTTTTCGCTATGAAACTTTGATAAAATTTTACAAATATTAATTATTCTAAGG